GAACAGCAAATGAAAAGACAAACAAAAGGATAACTGGCATTCTCAGAGAACAACAAAAGAAGCTGGTGGAGCTGAGTGGAGTGCATGAGTAACAGAGTGCACGAAGGAGGGGTGAAGCCACAGAGGTAATGGAGATCATCACTTATAAGGACTGGCTTTTACTCTGAATGAAATACAGAGCCATTCGAAGGTTCTAAATTTTTGACATCTATTTAACATCCTTACTTTGCTAGGCTGAGATTAGGTTGCAAAAATATTACTTTGGTAATTTAACTAATAAAGAAAAAAGCACACATAGATTCTAATGTTGCTTCCTTCCTCAAGAATCTACAGTGGTTCTGTTACCTATTGTGTTACCTTAAGTTTCATTATTTTATTTTAAAGACATTCATAATCTTGCCACATTGTATTTATTTAATCCCATTTCTTCTAGTTCTTCCAGACCTAAGATCAATTCTTCTAATCCTAATTCTTCTAAAACTAGGTGCAGTTTTAGTCTAGTTCCATTACCTATACAATAGTTCCCCCTTATCCATGATTTTGTTTTCTGTGGTTTCAGTTACCCATGGTCAGCTGCAGTCTGAAAATATTAAATGGAAAATTCCATGATGGAATCTTGGACTGTCCCACTTTATCCCACCCAGGACGTGAATCATCCCTTTGTCCAGCATATCCACACTGCATACACTACCTGGCCATTAGTCACTTAGTAGCTGTTTTGGTTATCAGATCAAAAAAACAGTATACTCGCATATAAGGATGGGTACTGTCTGAGGTTTCTGGGATCCACTGGGGGTCTTAAAACATATCCCCAGTGGATAAGGGGTGACAACTGTAATTTGTTCTGATTAAAATAACTGGGAGATTTTTCATAATGGACATTGATTACATAAAAGTGTTTTCAATAAATACATGAAATGTTTTGGAAGTCTTCATTTAAATACCATTGAGGCTCTTAAATGTGTGAATAATTGATTCGCTTTCATCATTTTATCAATCAAGAATCCTAGTTGCAGGAAATCACTGTTATAGCTAGTGATTTATTAGAGGGCACTGAATTGCTGACAGAATCTCTCTGGAGGCTAGGAAGTTAGGTACATTTGTTAGACAGCTTGGAACCATGCAGCCAGGAGAAATGTCTGAGCGTACCATGTAGCTGATTGAATACCAGCTCCATTGCCTTCATTGCCCACACAATATCTGTGAAGCCAGAGACCAGTCACTACAACTTCTGTTAGAGCTACCACAGAAGAATCAGATACCTTCACCACTGTGCTTGCAAGACCAGTAGCCTCCCGTCATGTGACTGCTGCCTCAGCTCATTCACGTCTTCCTTCCAAATATTACATATTTGTTTATATTTGGCAGTGCCTTGGTGTATACTCTTAGCTTGAATGGAGTCTGGGAAATGTTATATATAGTTTTCCATCCTCTGTAATACATGAAGGTGTGTTTGAGAGGGGATTTGAATGGGTGTGGAGAAACTGCCATATTCATAATAAAAGAAATGACAGCAAAAATGACAATGGAATACCTTTTTTCATCTATCATTCTGATAATCGGTAGCAATCAATAGGTTGATAACTTTTGTGTTAAAGATCTTGGAAACAGCCACTCATAAATTGTTTGTAGTAGTATAAATTAGTAAAACATTTATGGAGGATAAATTGGCAATAACTTATCAAAATTACAAATGTATATACTGATTGACAAAATTCTACTTCTGGAATTTATCTTACATAGCCACAGAATGTGGAAACAAATTAAATGTTCATCAATAGGAGACTGACTAGATAAATTACAATGTATCCATACAAGAGGAAATTCTGCAGCCACTAAAATGAGTGAGGTGGCAGCTCTTTGTGGACTGATTTGGAAAGATCTCCAAGGTACAACAGTAAGTGAAAGAAGCAAGTTCAGAATAGAATGTATGATATTCTGTGTTAGAAACAGAGACTGGTGTGTGTAAACTGCAACAGAATTTCTATATCTGGGAGGGCTCAGAGTGAGGATTTGATGTGACATGGTACACAGCTAGGAACCACGTTGTATTCCATTTTTGTTGTTTATAACAAAATACTTGGAACTGGGTAATTTATAAAGAAAATGAAATTTATTGTTTACAGTTTCTGAGGCTAGGAAGTCCAAAGTCCA